AAGTTAGCCCTCACAYTGCTTCTGCACATGGACACATAATCAGTGTTTCCTCCAACTCTGGGAGTGCTGGCATCCCACAYCACTGCATGCAAATTAMACTTTTTGTTTTGAAATCGAACCTGCAATAGTTTGATATTGGAAAGATACTTTTTCTAAAATAATTCACAATTTAGGGGCAATTAAGAGGCAGAAGTCAATAATCCCAAGTCCTATAAGACTGTGCTTGATTGCAGAGCAGATGGGAGACYCTGACCTTTCAGATTCAGCCTGCTGCTGTTCATCTGTTTGTCCATCTCTTTCTCTATTTCCTACCTGKTTTTTCCCTGTTAAATAGATATTAAATGATTTCTTTGATATCCCTTCCTGGTAGAAAGTTAAGAGATCATTTTTCATTGTTAAAAGTGATAAAGTGATCATTTTCCATTGTTATAGAAAAAAGAATATGGTTCATTGGTAATTGTCTTACTAAATTTTTGATGTACTGTTTGACACTATGACAGTTCTTTGACTGCAAATACTCCCAGGAATTTTGTCTTCCAGACAAGGATGAAACTTAAAATATTGCTTCATGTCAAAATTAAAAAGAAGATAAATGGAAGATGCAAAGTGGATGGAGAACTATTGCAATATTGTCTTATGTTCTCCATTGTGTTCAGTATCATATCAATTAAAACATGCTTATCAATATATTTTCTGTATCTTTTCACTAAGTATACCTTTATGTTCTATGAYATGACCTAAGAAAGCATGAGGTATTAAACTATAGAGAAAGCCAAGCTGAAGGAATTATGGAAAGAAAATACTTAAATAAGCAACATTCACCACTACAGARTCTACAGAAAGAATCAGTAATTGTGACCATCAGAAATCCCACCTATTCAGGAATAAGCATTTAAAAATAATTTTAAAACATTTTACAGCGGCATATATTTCTCTTCCACATATTAAACACAGTGACAAACAAGTGCAATACAAGAAACAAAGCCAATTTTAAGGAAAAAAAAATGTTTGCTATTCAAGCAAACATGGGTCTAGTAACAGATGGAAATTGAACCTTTTAGACTGTTCTTACCATAATGACTACTTGGAGAACTTACTAACTCCAATTATAGCCACAATTAGCACTTTTTAAGGACATGGATGTATAAAGAWCTGAGACAGATCTAACACCAAAAAAAAGTACCCTGTTTTCTGTTATGCTGGCTTATYAGACTCTGCAACTGGAACAGGATTCATCTTTTTCACCACTTGCCCAGATTTTCCCTGTTCTGGCTTCCAGAGAACGGATTTGTCTTCATGATTTTTAGTGACACCTTCAGTTCTCCAAGAAAAATGCACGAAGGAGTTTTTCCCTGCGGTGCAACCTCAGCACAGTRCCCTCTCTTCCCATTTCTCCACCACTAGTGAGGCACTGGGCAGAACCAGAAAGCACAAAACGAGGTTTTCCAGCAGTTGTTGGATCAGCCCAGTGGGACCATCGGCAATCAGCGTACCTGGGGTTGACCAACTCAGAGCGCTCCTCTGCAATCAGAGAACTTAAATAGAACTTTCTTCCCTTTCCCTTTGGCAGCTCCATGGTAAWCCCCACATGCAGCTCAAGGTCCAGCAGTGTCTCTTAAGCTACRACAATGCCAACAAACAATCCTGACACTGTTTAACTATATCACTTTCCAATTTACTTTATCTTCCTATAACTCCTTCTCATAGAATTTCATCCTATGTCATTTACTGACATATTTTAGTTAAACATCTGGAGAAGTATTATTGATCCACAAAGGAGACTGAATGCCTCTTAAAAAGAACTTCTGACATGAGCAGGTTGCTGATACACAATTATTGTTTATTTAAAGAGCTTCTGAGAAACTATGAGAAGGCTCATTGCTATTAATCCCGAAGCATGGATGTTAGCCTGCAGTTGGACTGGAAACAGGCTAATGTTTCCAATGAAAAAAACCCTTSTAGCCAAATTTTAATTGAAGCTAGATAGCAAATTAAACATTTTTCTTGCCTTGGGAATAGAAGATTCTGAAAACAAAATTGTATCAATGAATTTGGGATTATTTTAATACCAAAAGTCTAAACAATATAACATATATACAGAAAAGTATTAAGAAATTCTTTTGTGAATAAAGAAAAGCCAAAACTTTTTTCCAGAAAATACTGAGGTGGATACTGATGTGTTTTTCCAATGTGAAAATACTTATCTACTAGCAATCTGATATCCCCAGATCTCTCTGCTCATGATCATAGGCTAGTTCTCAAAATTAATCCTTATGATTTTCATTCCATTGTTTTAAAAGGAGTATCAATGTGTTCTGAAGGCCTTATTGTCTTTTAGAATTTCACATCAGTCATTAAACAATCTCCTTTCATTTTCTACACTGTTTACATCTTGTATCAAAATTTTTAATAGATGATGGTCCAACAAATATTCTGGAACACATTAATTGTTTAGACAACTCATAGACTTGTCTAAAAAAGATGTCATTATTCTGTAACTCRGTGAAATAAAAAATAAGGCACCCAAACATACAATTGTCTTTTTTGTTTACAAGACTTATATACTAAAATTTATTCATCAAAGCAGTTTGGAATTCTTAATTCTTCTAGGAAAGCTTTGTGCAGAAGCTCCCTCTGTAATTCATACTTACCTTCATTATACAGCTTACCAGATCCTAGCTAAATATTCAGGGTCAAGATCATAGCTACAGCATTCCATAACCAAGGACTGTCTGAAAAAATTACTCTTAAAAYGTTTGTATCTCCAGAAAACATCAAAACTAGTTTGCATTAAACCTGAGATCATGGTGAAATTAAAGTGCAGTCAATGGTTACACAGCAAAGTTGTGGAGGCTTGGATGGGGAACTTAGAGGTGTGCCTTAGCACTGCCTACACCAGAGACTTTGCACAGAGATTCCATCATATTTAAAAAACAGGAACATCATGAGCACTGAAGAACTGTTTTCTGAGGGTTAAAGGTAATGCCATCATAGAGAATATTACTGTTAGGTGCCTCCATCTGTCCCCTTTAATTACCTCTGACAAAAGACAGTTTTTCACTCTRAAATACTGGTTGACTTCCTCTCTCAAGTACTTTGATTGCTAGATATGCCTAAGCCAGAATGCCTAGCTGGCCAGTAATTTCAATAATCTCTTTCAGTAGCCAGAGTCTCCACCCAAAATCTGAGTGCAGAATGCAGAAAATAGGGGCATCCAGTATCTATTGCAAGTTCTCTGTCTGGGACAAAACATAAAAGAACCCAAAATGAATAATGCATGGCCAAGACTTACTTGGAGATACTTACTTTGAAGATGGCCAATCTTCAAAGCTTGTGAAGACACAGATCAACTTATATTAGCAATTAGTAAAACATTGTTCAGTTTGCAACAGAAGACTCCTGGCCAGCAGAACTGGTCTAAGAATTCTTAAGATTGTAGAGTGGGGCTTAATTTTGGAAAAGAAAATGAAGGAATGGTCAGACTGCAAATTCTCTATGAGTTTTGTATGTCATAAGGGGGCCATTGTTCTGTAACTGTGTAAATCACCAGTGATGAACAGGTAAGGCAATAGAATGGGAACCTATGTCTGCCATATCAAGAACAGTCAGGAGTGATGTCATGGCTGAGAGACCATCTGGCCTTCATTAAAGAGAGAGGAGAAAGTATTAGGACAAAAGAACACAGAGAAGAAGCCATTTGAATCTGTGTCTAGAAAACAAAGCCAAAAAGTTCAGCAGCCAACACTGCAACGATGTTGAGAAATAAGCAAGCCCACTTAGAGGAGAGAGGAAGCTGATCCACATAAGCCAATTCAAGAAGCAGACAGCCTTGGAGTAAAACACACACGTACCACTGGGTAGTGACATGGAGAATTTAAACTCTGGCATGAGCTCTTCTTTCAGTGATCGGAGAGAAGATGAAAATACAAATGCTTTCTTAACTCCTGAGAAGAAAACCTCAAAGTCTAGCTGCCTTTTGCACAGTATTTGCATGTCAAACAATCAGCAAGAGAAAAGCCCTGAGAAATATGGCCCTAACTGAGAAAACAAAGATAATCCCGTAAGTGGGTTTGGTTGTGTGACTTAACCTTTGCATGTTCTGCACAACTGAAATGAGGCTTTGGACTAAACCCTCAATTAGAAGAAGCATATGATAATTGCAGAAGATGTGCAAATTGTTCCCGTTCAACAAGAGAACTTCCTTTTACACTATATGCTGAGCAGCAAGGAAATGACCAACAGCACACATCTGCTAATATCACAAGGACAACATTTTGGATCTTGAGTGTCTGTGATGTAGCAAACCCATGCAATAGCTAACCTGGATCCATTTCAAGAACTTGTGGTTTGAGAACAGATACTGTTTAAGACCAGAGGGCATATTTGGGACTTCAACAATAACCTTTGAAGAAAGAGTACAGTCTCTAAAAAGGTTGATCAGGCAGTAAATGGAAACAGCAGTGCTAAATATGCAAGGCATTTTTCGGGGCCTGCTTCTCCAAATAAACACAGATTTAGGGCAGGTGCCAGACTTAGAGGGAGAACAGAAATTTGGGGACTGTTCCTYATCAAAGAGATTATCCAATAATAGGGAAATACCAGAAGAATCCCCTTCCCACAAGGTAAACTGCACGTCTGTTCTTTCCTTAAGCCACAACTAAGACACCATGCCTAAAATATGAAGTTGTTCAAAGGACTAATGACACACATTCTTGTTGCATACAATATCACCCTTAAAACTGCAGTAACAATAGCCCTGAAAATGTAAATAGTGTTACAGTGTTTATCTCTGTATTTGATCACACCCAAAAAAAACACCCCAGAAAACATTTTATCTTTCAATGTGTCCAGATGCATATTGGTGTCCAAGGTCCTGCTCCTTAAAACAAGGTCAAAGCACAAATTGAGTAATTTCAACAATCCAGGATCTAATTCTACCTTTAACACCAGACAAGAGATGCATTTTCAAGTGGATCATTACTCAAAGACCAATTGCTTAGGTACAATATTTATTGTCAAAATACCATGTGAACATAATAAAGGGTTAAGCATAAACATTTTAAATCAAGGTACTTATCAGTTCTTCCCACTTTTATCCCTATTCATATCATGTCTTCTCAAAAAATAGTGAATCACTTGAACAGTTGCAGCTGGTACAGAATTTCTACAGCTTAAGCAGCAGCATGCTTTGGCTTAAACAGTCAAAGGATGCCTCAAATTCCATTAATCTCCTCCTCAAATAAGAGTTTTCTACCTTCTGTGAAAAAAAACTTGTAGCCAAACAAGCCAAAGTAAGAAATTATACAGTTTCAGAGTTGAGAAAGAGCTGGAATAAACAAAAACTACATTAGATATGACTAAAAAAGAGTGGAATGATCMGTTAACTGAGGTTCTACACAAACTTAAAAATTTGATGAACATTAATGGGCTTTATTATTTCAATTAAGTCTAATGGTATAGGGACAGAATACGAGGAAGCATTAATTGTGATAAAAATTAGTCAGGACAGTCAAATCTAAAACGTACTGCTAGCATTTGCAGGAGAATTACGCTGTAGTGAGCACAGGAAGTAAAATTCATTAACTACAAAGACAGTATCTCTGACTTTGGAATTTCCTGAACTGCAAACTGCTGGAGCTGGGGAGAATACTCTGACAAAGTAACAATACATGATTGCCCGGTTCTAATGTTTTGTTTTTTTTAACAGCATTTTATTTTAGCCAGTGGAGGAGGCAGGAAACTGGCCTAGGGTAACCTCTAGTCTAACCTAGTGCAATCATTCTCATGTTCTTAAAATGGATCATGGATGCATAAAATCAATAAAGACAGCATAACACATAAGGTGAAATCATATAAAAATATAATCCCTTAATATTATCATAGTGAGAGGTGGTCTTAAGAGGAGTCATTGTGGGTAATTCTTTGAAAATAGCAGTTCAATATGCACCAGGATTCAAAAAGGCACACAATATAAGCTACTAGGAAAGAGGGAGAAATAATTCTGAAACAATACAAAACGACCATGTTCCCATGGTACATGGACTAAAAAGTATGCAGTTTTGACATTCCATCTCAGAAAAAAAGACCCTATAAAACTATTGTTTTAACTTGTAAAATACTATCATGTCTATAATAGAAAGAGTGTCAAAGACACATCAAAGTATGGAACAGCTTCACATGGCTGTCAGGGCCTGGATGGTGCTCTGCTCACTGGGTAATAAACTGTGTGGATGGCTGGGCCCAGAGAGTGGCACTGACTGGAGCTTCATCCAGCTGGCAACCACGTCAACAATGGAGCTTCCCAGGGATCACTGGTGGGGCCAGTCCTGTTTAATAGGTTTATCAATGGTCTGATGAGGGGATCAGGGGCACCCTCAGTCAGTTTGTGGATGACATCAAGCTGGGCATTAGCATGATCTGCTGGAGGGCAGGAAGGCTCTGCAGAGGGATCTGGACAGGCTGGATTGATGGGCCAAAGCCAATGGTACAAGATTCAATAACGCCACGTTCCAGATCCTTGTGTCACACAAACCTCTGCAGTGCTACGGGCTGGGGACAGAGTGGCTGGAAAGCTGCCCAGCACAAAAAGACCTGGGAGTGCTGATCAATAGCAGCTGAACATGAGCCAGCTGTGCCCAGGTGGCCAAGAAGGCCAATGGCATCCTGGCCTGGATCAGCAATAGTGTGGCCAGCAGGACCAGGSCASTGAYCATCCCCCTGTACTCGGCCTCACCTCAAGTTCTGTGCCCAGTTCTGGGCCCCTCAGCTCAGGAAGGTCATTGAGGGGCTGAAGTGTGTCCAGAGAAGGGCAACAGAGCTGGTGAGGGGTCTGGAGCACAAGTGAAGGGCAGCTGAGAGAGCTGGGGATGTTTAGCCTGGAGAGAGGAGTCTCTGGGGAGATCTTATTGTTCTCTACAACTTCCCAAAATGAGGTTGTAGCAAGGTGGGGGTCACTCTCTTCTCCCAGGCAACATGTAATAGGACAAGAGGAAATGGCTTCAAGTTGCTCCAGGGGATGTTGACATTGGATATTAGGAAAAATTTCTTCATGGAAAGGGTGGTCAGCATGGGAACAGACTGTCCAAGGAAGTGGTGAAATCATCATCTCTGGAAGTGAACACAAACCATGTAGATGTGGTGCTTAGGGACATGGCTTAGTGGTGGACCTGGCAGTGCAATGGTAATGTTTGGACTTGATGATCTTAGTAGTGTTTTCCAATCTTAATGATTCTGTGTTTCTATGAAAAGAAAAACAAAACACAGCACAGATTAAAAAAATCCAGAAGATTGAAAGCAAAAGATGACTAACATTAACGTTGGGATAACTAAGGTCATTAACGCAATTAAAGAGGCTAACAGAGAAGAATAGTCTGGTTTTTGTTGCTCTGCAAATAATAAGGCTCTCCAACAAAATTCTCACATAGCAAGTGAGAAGTAATAATAAGCCAGACTGACCTTTAGTCTCATTTCATGTGATTGATCTGATATTCTAAATTACATGAAGTAAATGAGGTCAAGAACTTATACGTAAATGTTCATATAAAAATAATATAAATAGAGTAGATGTTTACAATTATTCAGATTATATATATATATTTATTTTTATGGAAAGAGCTATTAAAAGTTGCATCAGATTAGCAATTAAAGTTCAGAAAAATGCCAGCTACAGTAGTTTCCTGCACATTTTTACACCTTCTTTTGAAAGAACAAATGTATCAGCAATTTTCAGATACGGGATACAGGACCAGATGGAATTCTTATATTCAGATGAACATAAAGTACAAGCCTTTAAAGTTCTGATTTTTCACAATTCCTGAATAATGTTCATCTCATAGAGCCACATATTATTCCAGGCAAAATATTTATGAGGTGTTGTTTATTGTTCTGTATTGTTGATGTTTCTCAAACCTATATCCCAGGACCATTTCTTCTAAAATGTACTTCTTGTCATGTCCCACAGCCCAAGCATACCCGTATTTTATTCTTTCTTTTAAATTCCAATATGACTTAGGCACACTGAGTAAACAGATTTAATAAGCTGAACTCAATCGTGACTTCTCCACTTATATTTTTTGGCAGAAAATGCCTTTCTGAGTTTCTATTTCAGTAAGATGCACTTAATACATCCAAAGCCGAGTAGGCTTTGATCCACAATTACAAAGTTAATATATATGGAGAAAGAATAATGCTGGGAAAATGCTCTCTTGGCAAATAGAAGTTGGAGCAAATTAATCCCATAGATTTCCCACCTTTAATGAGTTCAAATCTTGCCATCATTAATAATACTGAAATAGTTATTAACATTTATATAAATATAATGAGAAAAGGTCTTTGGACCTGCCAGCAGGATCGAAAGCTATTGGAACTTTTATCACATGAGTAAGATCAAAACCAAAGCAGCTATACTCTTTTTTTTCCTTTTGCTTTATGTAACTCCATAGCCCAGGCATCTGACTATCGTCTTGACTTAAAGTACTTGGCTACAACCCAAAGACAGGTTCAAATAAGGTTCTTTGATTCCACACACATGCACATACACACGTTCTTTCAGTCCACTCTCCTTGCATACAGGAGTCAACAGGAGTTAAGGGCAGCACTTCAAACTATGCTCAGCACCTTGCAGRATGTGGTCCTTTATCCTTACTTGACCCTTTGTGTTTTCTTAGTTCTGTTTTTACCAGTTTTACTAATAATGTTCCTCTGCAACAACAAATATTGTCCAAAACCCCACTGATGCCTACTGTGATCTTTCCTTGAAATCCTATACAGTCTATCCCCAAGTTATGAAGTGTAGTTTCTATATTCTATATCATTGGTTTTAGAAACTAAGATAATTCTGAAAATCGAGACAGTAAAATTCTCACTTGAATTTGTGAGGGAAATTCTTCAGTAAATACATTACCTTTCCCTGAGTTACTGTTCTATTGCAGTCTGTAAGGAGATCTCTATATTTTTAAAAATATCAGGACCAAATTCTTGTTGTTCATGATCCTAAAATGTGGCTTAGAGTTTATCTTGYCATCCAGTTACTCTAATTTTATTCTGACTGGTAAGCTGTCTGAACTGAAAACTTTCTGCCTGTATCTTTAGGTTTTCATTTAACACAATGGACAGCATTAGATTGGTGGGAAAGAGGAATAATATACACCTAGGGCTTGTTCTGACAGTCACTTAGGATGCATATCTGTTCCCAGAAGCCCACAGACACCATAGTAGAATTCAGCGTTTTAGGCACAGCAGTTTTTCAGAATTAATGGTGATGAGTACTTAGTAAGTCATGATTCTTCTGGACTTTTTTTATGGATCATCAAATGAACTATTAAAATTCTCTACGAATCAGCCATCAATGCCAAAAAGGCTATATTTTTAATTTGTTTAGATACCAAAAAAAAAGATGACTTGATCTTCCTGGAAGATCATCASCAATTTGACTGTTTGTGAGCCTACAAAACAGTTAAGGAATCACATTTTAGCACCTAAGCTTGCAAATATGATTTCAAATATTTTGGACTTTATTCTTAGAGGTCATACTACATTTAACTATGTAGATATTTARCTTATTAATTCCTTTAAATTTCTGTTATTAAAGGAATCAATACTTTTCCCACAAAGTTTTAGAAGAGCCAGGGTGGAAGTTTATCTGATTGGAATCTGAATTGTGGAAACAGCTGTGCAGAAGGATTTTTCATTACTGGCTTTTTAACAAGAAAATTCCTAATTTTAAGCAGCTAAGTAAAAGGAAGAAAAAGCTGTCCTCCTACTGAGACACGGATGGTTTAACACTTCTGAGWTTTTTTGCTGTCTACATCAATATTATCACTTCGCATTTTGTTTCCAAGTAAATGAAATATGAATTGAGTTTTCATATCTTTCCACAATTCCATCAGTAATCTATTGGTCAGCAGTTAGCTAGACAGAGAAGAGTGAACCTACTGTACTATTTGACACTCAGGCTAACACATCTCAGCTTCATAAACAGATCTTCTTTTTAGTGTTTAACTATCACATCTCATTTGCAGGCCTTTTTGTTCATCTGCAAGAGATACAATACTCTTACGAGAGTAATCAGATGCTTACTATATTAATAATTTTAAGTGCTTACACATTTTTAGATTATTAGCACTAAATAAATTTAAATTGCTGCATACAACTTCAAGACTCCTTATTTAACAGGTCTCATGAGATAGTTTACTAGCAAATAAATTCTCGGTGACAAAATGAGAACATTACCCACATACTAATGTAGAAATTCAGTATTTTAAGAACTCCATTTATGAAATCATCTCTTTTTTGCAAAAATTGTYACTGGAAATTGATTAGCAGCAGTCCCCTCTATTGAAATTTGCACTATAACCCACACTTACTGCATTATTAGTAATAATGAATTAATAGATCAGGATGTATTTTTTTATTAGTGAGATACAGTAGATGACTCATGTATGCTTGTCAGAAAAATTTATGGTGTGCACGCTAAATCATACATTACAGATATTGTAATGTTATATATACATTATATATAGGTTATATATGGGTTATAACATTATAGCGCATTAAATACAGTCAAGAAAATTAACTAAAAAAAAAAAAAAAGATGAATTGCAATATCCTATAGAAACACTACTTGTCCAAAGTCTGTCTTATGTACTACAATGATTCTCTATTTTTAAGTAGATTTTAAGAGATAGAATTCAACAATATGTTTTAAATTACTTTAAAGTCAGATATGAACAATGTTCAGTAAAGAATTTTGGAGCCACCAATGCCTTTGGAGACAAAGAATAAAGTTGAATGGTCTAATGGTTCTTTTCAATCAAAATTTATTGTTCTTATCCCATGTAGGAACTGCATTTTAACATACTCCACAGCTCATTCCTTCCAATGAATCAGTGGTAGCAATCCTAAAAAAATGCTGACCACTGTCTTTTCAAATTTGATATTTKTGCCCTATTGCTGATCTCAAAACACATAATTGATTTACCTTGATACAAACATACTCTTTAATCTACAGTATGTAAAAAGATTGTTGAAGAGTCCCATATCTTCACTAGTTTTAGAGCATTTAAATGCTAAAGGCTAAAACAGCTAAAGGCTGTTTTCACACTCAAACACGCAAAAAAGTATTAATTGAAAACAATTACAAGAAAATAAAAATACTTCAACCTGGGACACACTCCATAATGTTACATAAGTCATAGGCACATATATCCAGAATGAATAAAGATATTAAGTCACTACATTTTAATAGTAAATATTCTTTGTTTCATCATTTCCTTCATTTTGGATACCACTCAGTTTTCAGATCCTTCGTGTCATGTGAAAACAAATTTTGTCTTTCACTGAAATCAGTAAGGAAGTCAAGGAACAAAGAGGCAATTCAGGGGAAAAAAAGACAACCCATTACATTAAACTGACTAAAACAAAGAAAATTTTTAAGCAGTCAAATAAATATTAAGGGAAGTTCAAATATGAACATTCAAGAAAAATGAAAGTTGTAACATACTCTAAAAAGCACACCTGATTCTTCATTTGCACACTGGTTGCATGTACTCAAAATCCACAGTAACAAAACAAAGAATGAAAGAGTAAAGAAAGCACAGTAAGGACTATATCTTGGGCTTCTCATCCAGGTGTTTTTCTTCTGGTGATAAAACTGAAAGGAACAGACATGTCATTAAATATTTACTTGTATCATTCAGTTACTATAAGTCACCGTTGGGGACACATTTTGTGATCCATTCAGTATAAGCAGTTCCTGGTCTAAGCTAGTAACTAGATGACTTTAAAGGTCCCTTCCAAACCAAACTCTCCTATGATTCTCTGAACTGAGAAGCAAGCACAGAACATGAGCAAAACAGTTCCAGCTGGGGGACTGCCTCATGTGGGTAACTAAGGTGAGTAATTTGACTGGTTCTCTTTCTGCAATGCTGCAAGGGCTGATATAAAACTGAATTTAGAATCTGAAAGTTCTAGGGTTCTCCCTGCTGGTCCTTTGCCAAAAACCTCAGCCCCTTCTCTTTAACATATTTTGAATCATCCTTCCGCAGTTTTATCATACAATTCTTACAAAGGCAGTGCTTACATATAAATTTGGTTATTTACTGTAGTGGACCCCAGAAACATAAAATCCTGACTTGGTCCCCACCCAGGCATCCCCTACTACAAAATATTGTATATTCAAAATTCTAAAGTTTTTTGTAACTCGTATGCACTAGTAAATAACAATAAAATATGCAGTTCT